TTCGAGTTGTGTCGCCATTGGCGGCTTGATTGACTTCTGTACAATCAATAGTGTGTTATTTTCATTTTATGACCTTTTCCACCAAATCATATCTAGTGTGTGCTCAATGGAAAGAATTGAATTGCTCATTATTAATCATTTAGATGAGGTTCAAAAGATCAGCAGCCAGTTAATTGAATGAACAATTGATAGCCACTGAAATTATATTGCAAATGGTGAGGAATTGGGAAATTTGAAACTTTTGTCTGCTTTTGTATGCGCCCTGGTTAAACAAGTATTAGTAGAGTGAACAAGCTTGAAGCTGMACTAGTTTGTAGCCTAATCCATGGTTGTGGATTGATTATCATAACTGGAGAGGCCAATTTTGCAAGTGCATGGGACAATTTTGAATACAGATTTTCTTCACATACAAAGTCTATGAATATTTATAAGTTCTCTCTTGCCTTTCTAATCAACTCTTTAGAGRAATAGAAGCCTGGGAATTTTTGTCATCATTTTAAAAATAATGGTGCATTGTGGTCTAGCTTAACAACAAATACATTATATGGTTAGTAGATGCTTAAGTAGAGTGATCACACTTAAACCGTGCAACTGTACAAAATCTAAATAGTAATTTGTACTAAAATTGGACCTGAATTGGAGACTGTATTGAATGCTCCATTGTATCAGTTCAATTTAATTTGTGTACCACATGCACAATTTATGGAATACAACTAAATAGCACTATTTAGTTTGTACAGTTGCACGGTTTAAGAGCGATCACTAGAGTACAAACATTAAATCTGAGCAACACTTTCCACTATTTACTATAAAATAGTGCTAATTAAACAATAGAATTAGCATAATTTGGCAGTAMTTAGTGGTATTTATGTTGGACAGTTTTAGTGTTTGTACTCTATAATGCAGATATTAGTAATTGTGTCAATTCATGGTGTATTACATGAAGTACTGACCCAATATTTGGCCACTGAACAAAAGATGTTTGTACCAAATCTAGACCACATCTAATGTGAACAAACATCACCACGCCTTCTYGACCCACCCTAGGCTTGTTTCCCAATGAGCAAGTATCAAAAAGAAATAAAAAGTCTAACATTTTTATGCACAATATTTAAAAACTTTATTTCAGATACTTTCCCAGTTGGTTATAAACATACTCTAAATAAAACTATGGTTAAAATAAATCAAAGCAATCTTAAAGTGTGCATCAAGAAAGAAAAGGATCTGATTGATAAGAATATTTGAGAAATGTTATTTTAGACGATTTCAATGCCTTACACATTTTGTTACATCTCTGAATTTCAAAGTTCTTTGTTTAGTTTAGTGATAATTATGGCCAATCCACAAACGTTTGAGTTGTTAAAAACTGTCCAATGTTCAAAAAAGGAGTTTGCACAAAAAGAAACCAAAACAAAACATTAAAACAGAAACAGAATAAATGCCTTTTTTTTCTTAAAAATATTGAATCGTTTGAAAGAATTGTTGTACAGATCCCCTTGACTGGTAAGAATTGATTGCTTTGCAGTTGCATTAAAAATAGTCTGATATTAACAATGTAGGTATAAATACTTAAGGTATTATCTACAGTTCATGGATTGAGTGACGGTCCACTGTATGCTTGRCCACCATTTACAAATGAATTTCCTAGTCCAAAGAGATGGCCACAGTATTTACTGTCATCAATATTGTCTTCAAAAAACATCTAAAATGAAAKAAAGCATAATAACATTATGGTTAGTGACATCAATAGTGAGGAGGACATGATATGCTATGACTTTCAGTTAATTTCAGAGCTTTTGGTATTCTATTATAACGTTATCATCATTATCCGGCATGTATGGGACAGTCATCACCGATTGGAACAAATCTCACGATAGGTTGAGAAAACAATGGACAAACAATAGATAAGTCTTCCAAACAGAGCTGCTGTACTTAAGGTGAAATCAAAACTTGTGCTGTACCACTCTCACATACTATCTACATGTACTTCGATAATGTATTCCCTCATCATGCCCTGTACTGGTGGAATGTTAGATGCATATTCATTTTACATTAACTATTTGAAATGGAAACAAAGGCCTGATAGTCAGGTTAACCCTACAGCGATCTGGATGAAAATTCTTTCAGTGTCTAATTCTTACTTGATATATGTTATGTTAATCATTTTCATAATGTTCATAGGGTAAACCTTAGCCCTTAAGAAACATTCTTGTGCTATGATGAGAAATGTCTAAAACAAGGACTTATCGTCCAATACATTGTAATGTGTACAAGGCGAATAGTATTCATGACACATATACAAAATGTCCATAAAAACGAATTACCTCTCTCATTTTGAAAAATGAATTTCCAGTCAATAAACAATCACTGCCTGCTTGATGCTGGGGTCCAACTCTTTCAAGCTAAGAAAATTGAATTATGTGGAGTTTAGAGCATGACAAAACAGAGTAATGTAGAAACGAATGGTTGAAGGGTGGATAAAGAAAGAGAAAAGGCATAAAGTAGTTATTGAATGAATCCTGACTGAAAAAAAAATGAATTGATGGAAGAACAAATGAAAGAATGGATGAACAAAGGGATGTATGGATGGATGAAGAAATGCATGGATATATTAAGGGACAAATAGATAGTGAATGGAAGAACAATTGTATGTTATAAGTAAAAAGTATAATGATAAAAATGTAATGATGTGATCATGAAAATGTACCTCTAATAGTTCTGAAACTTCTTGAAGGCCTCCTTTTAGACTTTTACAGCTTTTCATTAAATACTTGACATCATATATGTTGGGAAAGTACAACTTGAGCATATCAAAGAAATCAGATTCTTCAGATGCTAGATTCTGRGCTGTCAGAAGTTTGATAAGGTAACCGAAATCATAGGCACTGAAAATAAAAAATAAATAATGCRAAAACCAAGGAAAATAATGTCATAATACTGGATTGTAGGTCAATCAGTTAATCAGTCATTTTTCTGTCAAAACCGCACAGTTAGCCAGACAACAAAATCACAAAGTTAGCCAAACACTTTTTTTGTCTAAGTACATAAATTAAACAAACTTTTTTGTCTAAGTCGAACTGCTAGCTAGGCACTTTGCCGTCTAAATTGACCAAAAACCAGACACCTTTCTGTCTAAGTCAGACAGTTGGTCAGACAAGTCATCTTATTAAGTCCGTTAGGTAGACACTTTAACGTTTGAGTCCATTAGGAAACCATACAATGTCGTTGTCTAAGTCAAAGAGTCAACTTTGCTGTCTAAGTCATTCAGGCGGCCATGAAAATATAGAAATTACTTTTTTTAGGAATATCACTTGAACTCTAATAGATTGCTTTAGGTAAAAGCGAAACACTTATTACTAAATTGTACAAAATTGTGCTAGTTGAACAAAAGAAAACAAAATAATAAGCATAAAGTAGTAAAAAAAGTAAAATAGTAATTTTTTATGCTTTTACTGAAAGCACTCTAGTTTTGATATTGAGGGTATTATTTACTATCATTTCACCAAACTGATAGAACACTCAGGCATGTTGGAATTATGCAAGGATGCAGATGCACAAAATTGCTCCCTTTCCGTATAATTTACCAAATAATGGAAAGATATGGTAGATTATTTGCTACTAAATTTGTTTTTCATAGTATACTACTGTAGAATATTGTTTTATACCTATGAAATGATAGCCATTTGACCTCATCTTGTAATACAAGTCCAGAAGTTATGAGAAGCTCAGCAAAGTCATTCACATCAATTCCATCCTCTTCGTGCTTTTTAAACTGTATACCTGATCTATTTAGCAAGTCAATAGAGTCCTGAGCATACATATCCTCCCTGTAAGATACAAACAATRAATTAACATCAGAATAATATAATCCCAATCCATGAAGTACACACAAGATTTAAATCAATATTCTACAAATAATAAACTAAATTTTCTTCTTAACAATTTTGCAAGTTAGGAATGTGAAAAATAATGCAAGAAATAATGAACAACTAGTGAAAGCACCAGTGAAATGAAAATGTTCCTTTACCAGTTAAGTCTACAACTAGAAGAACTATTAAAGTGAGTGTCGCAAAGTCAAAATTGCATAACAGAAGTCACCATACTTTTAATGTACTTTTAATGTACTTGTAATGTCAAGTGTATGATATTGTAATTTTGTGTATTTTTTATTTTTCCTGACAAATATCTATTCTGTTTTATAATTTGTTTTCACACTTGATTACATTACTAATTAACTTTAATGACTTACGTAAGATTGAATTTAAAATTGAACTGCCATGTCGCTCCATCAGATGGTTGTTGTCCTTGTTCATTATAGAATGACATCCCCAATTGAATGATCTTTAATAAATCTACATTGCACCTTAACAACTGGAATTGATACTCTGAAGTACTCTTAAATTCACCAATAGGCCTTGCAACAACTCCAGGGAACTCGGTGTCCTTTTGAAAAAAAAAATTTGATTTTGAATTTGTAGTAACTCCAGCCTAAGATCAACACGCACAGATATATTAAAGCACTTAATTGCTACCCATAAGTACGCTAAGTTCATATGTAACCAGTAGTATTACTAATTATTTATTGTGAATTTATCTAATTATATTTATTATTTATCCTGACCCCACTTGTAATTCAGTCATGCTTATTATACTGCAATAAGTGGAAATAAACAAATCGATTTATCTATCTATCTATCTATTGACTGTGAGTGATTAAACTGGTGGGAACTAGCAGTAAACTAGAGTGAGCTGCGTCAGTGTTTCTAAAGAAACAGTTATGTAAAAAGATAAATTTAACACCATAAAAGAGTAGGTGAAATAACATACTGAGTGATTAAATTGACTGAATTGTCTTATTTCATTCAGAATTATTAAAATAAGGTATAATGTAAATCTATAGGACACTACTTTCAATTGGAATCAAACTTAAAGAGTATTAACCTTATTAACTGGCCTTGTTCAAAATTGTAACATTAACTAGATTCAGCTTGACAAAATGTTGGCACATGAATTGAGCATGCATTCAGCTTTTCAGTCTTACACATTTTAACTCATTTTTGTCTGTTATTTTTGAAAATTAATTCAATTACTACTAGAAAAYATACTTTTTACACATAAATAAATACAACGTGAATACATTTTTATTGCTATTTTTAACTTACCATTGCAACAAAAGGATAATCTACCACYATTTCGCGAATTTTTGCAAACTCTTCTTCGAGATTATCTTTCCATACATCTCTTATGCCAAAATTGACAGTCGTCGGCATATTTCTGTCCTTGTTTTTCTTTTCTCCTCACAACTGTTAGCTTTTTCTTGATCTTTTGTTCATGGGAATACTTGAGGATGGAAAMATATTATTCTAAGAAACCCAGCTAAGATTCTACAAAATGAAAAGAAAACAGCATGGTCGAATACTCACTCTGTAAATTCAACACAAAAATTAAGCATAAATACCTCAGACTGCTTTCTACTCGTCAATAGTTATAAAATATATCTTTTACAGTATATTTCCGATGAAGAAGGGGAAATACTCGATAAAATAATGTTGAATAGCTCTCTGAACAATTCAAAACAAAATGGCGGAAGCGTTGTATGCCCAAGCATGCTTTGATGAGGAAAACAGCTGATCAATAGAAACGTGGCAAAACAAACGCCAAATTTCATTATTTTTACCCGCCTTTTATTTAGTACGAAAAATACAATCCCATGCCATGCCATGTGGTAAACCTTGCGTAGGATGTTGAAATACACTTTAAATTGTATTTATGTTAAATGAAAAAACAAAAAGACTACAATCAAGTTATGGGAATCCGAGCTGGTCACGCTACAAGCTTGCAATCACGATGAAACATTACATTGATTGACTTGTATGATTGATGAAGAGGAAACTGAGGGGGGGGGGTACACTATTGCGATGCTTTCCGTCTGTTCTAAAGGCGATTGAGTTCCGTCGAATCGCTTTTCTATATGGACCTATATGGTATGTATACGCTTTATCTACAATGAAAATGGCGTCAGAAAATGATCAAAACTCAAATGGAACCACGAGCGTAGCGATCAATTTTTTTTTTTTCAAGATCATTTTTTGGCGTCATTTCGTTTCGCGTTTCACAATTGTAATTTGTATCATAACCTGAGATTCCGCGTTTTCTCTAAATATAATTTGAGACCAGGGCAATAGTACTGATTGTGGTTTGCAGCGCATACTTGATTTGGAGGTAAGGTCACGTGACGTTTAGTGCCAATCGTTGCGATTGACAGTTTAGCAAACACTGTTTTGTGCAACCCGTGCAAATACTGAAAGTTGACATAAGAAAAAGAGAACATTCCTAGAGAGTCAACGTTCTGCCATTTAGTAATCATAGTGRGTCGTGCACACCGTCCAGTTTGCAGTTTGTTAAAACATGATGGAGTTGTTTAAACTTTACAGAACTTCTTCCAAAACGATATAAAATATTTTCAAGAGYGATTTTTTTCCTTCAATGCAGAATCCGTTCTCTGAAATACTTGACATTGAAATACTTGACATACGACTGTACTGACGTTGGCAGAATTGTATAGTTGGCCAAGAAGTTAGTATTTCAGCGCTTGTGAATGAAATGGRGGCTTTGTGGATAAGGTAAGCATGCTATACGACACAGCTACATACAATTTGTAATGTAAGTATTGTAAAAGCTGTGAGTGTATGTAAATTCAGGATGAGAAAATCATGCTTGTAGTAGCTCTCATTAGGACGTCGTGACATTTTTCTGATCCTTAAAGTCCTCGTTTCAATTTGATCCCTTATCCCGATATTTCTTTAATTGCCAAGGTTCCTTGTCCTAATCTTTGCCGCAGAGGCAACGTTCACTAGAAGATGTAACGTCAAAGACTCCATGACAGTTCACCCCGAAAGACCTCGKGCGGCTCCCCCCGGATACCATTTCATATCTTCATTTACATCACGATTGATGTCGAGGTTTAAAGTCAACCGAGATGTCAACGCCTTTGCTGCGCTGTTTGACCGYAAAATGAAATGTCAGGAGCAGATTCTTATTCCTGTTGCTTGGCATGTTCTACTGTCGTCTGATGGAACAGGCAATGTGACTAGGGCAGCCGTCGATAAACAAATGCAAGTTTTAAATGGTGAGCAATGTAGTTTTATTGCACACTTAAAAGTGAAAACATCAGCAAAGCATTTCMMGAACGCAAATGATTGGAAATGGTATTTTGTCGTTGGTTAAAAATTATTTAATGTTCTTTATTTATTAGATGCATATCAAAATGCAGGATTTTATTTCAAGTTGGTAAGTTTCAATTATCTTTAGAGTGAGGTCGAGTTAGTATTGATACTCTATGGACATAATGAATCAAAATGACCAAACAGGGACAACTAGCACAACCATTGCGCATTACAATCCCCCCTCCCCTGTTACGAACATGAAACTATCGTGGATAAAAATAGTGCGCAAGCGTTTATAGCGCGTTATAGGCATATGTGGAAGTGACTGTCCATGGTCAACAAACTATTTCTTATACAGTAATATCGCGYTCAAATGTATAGTTAATACCTGTAACTCATTTTCTTTATCAGACTTCTCTCCATTACACTATCAACAAGCTCTGGACCGAAAACTGCGAGTCAAAATCGTCCAATTACATGCAAGCATTAGCTGTCACGCCATCCACGACACTTAATTTCTACACTTGTCTTTTTGCTAGTGGTTTTACCAGTTTAGGGTCAGGGACAATGCCGTGGTGGTTTAACGAGGATAGTCGATACCATGGGGTTTTAGTACATACAGAGACCTTGCCGGGTGGTACACTGGCGCCAATCAATGAAGGCAAAAATGCTGTTCATGAGGTAGCACCATGTTACGTTGTTCTCAGTACCGATCGATTTTGTACACTCAGTGCGCTCTGCACTGCAACACGCATACTAATAATAAGCCTTATTGCAGTTCACAGTAGAGTTAAGAGGCGGGCGGAGAGGAAGTAATGGGTTTGTCCTCTGCCCCTATGAACACTTCCCTAGCTAGCTTAATGCTGTTACTGATTAGATGAATYTACAGGGCGGATCCGATTTAAGCGATTAATTTTTATACATCTCTCTTCTTCACTTACAGGTCGGGCATTACTTTGGACTTTTTCACGTCTTTGAAGTAAGTTCCATGCAAGTATAACTGCCTGACAATTACTTGTCCATAATCATGGTAGAGTACGTACAAACAATATATCTGTTAAATATGCTAAATTATGCTAATTCTTCTTATCGTCCTTGTAGTTAGTAATGAACACTGTACATTATTTCTGTTATTTGCTCTACGATCATCGTATCATGCTATCCATTATTGAATCAAATTATGTTTCAAAGGTTGAATTATGAGAGAAGAAAAAATAATAATTTGTACGTTATATAGGGCGAATGRACAGGAAAGATGGATGATAGAGTGAAGGATACTCCTAAATGCAAACCATCGTACGGTTGTCCAGTTGAAGATCTGYACACATGTCCACAAKAGCCTGGAAAAGACCCTATTCGTAACTATATGGGCTGTAAGTAATCCTAAAACAAGTTATTATTTGGTGTACATTTTCTCATATCACATGCATTAAGAYGTCATCATTTTCAAATACATTTGACCTTCGAACAAGCGTCATCATTTTTAGATTTTTATTTAAGAATACTATACGCTACCGAGTATTGATGATGTGTAGCGATAATAATCCTTATATGATGATTGTCAATCTCTAGACGCGGATGATGCGTGTATGAATGAATTCACTCCAGGACAAATTGAACGAATGAAATGGGCAGTWAACAAGTACCGTCCAACACTTATGAAAACAGTCAGGTGTAAGTATATACCATTTGCAATAGAAATTCTGTCATTTCGTGTGTGCGAGCTCCGGTCATACATATTCGTTATATTCCATCAAAATGCTCAGCCAGAATCGAGTGATTATAATACTGCAGTATACTCATCTTTACTTCAGTCCCCTGCTCAGTGGACGCGGTTTTTCGGTGGTCGAATGGCTACATCTATATCTTCTCTGGCTARAACTATTACCGATATGACGAGTTTCAAATGGGAATAGACCCAGACTACCCTCGGCCAATCGCGGCCCATTGGCATGGAATACCYGATAACATCGATGGAGTGTTCAGATACGCCAATGGTGTCACTTATTTCTTTAAGGGCAAGTACTACTATCGCTACAATGACGCGAATAATAGGGTAGATCCAGYCTTCCCGCGTCTTATCAGTGACTTTTGGCGAGGAATTCCACCTGATATTGATGACGTCATTAGGTAATTACTACAGTACGATCCATAAAGAAATATGAGTGTGCCAAGATTAGCGCTGGAAGAATATTATTGATATATTAGTCTAAGGTTTCGCTATATTTTCTATCCACAGCACAGAGACAAGTGAATCCATGTTAACATCCATTTATAAGGCATGCACAACCTTTTATTTCCTTTCAGTTCCTCCAACTCCTACACATACTTTTTCAAAGGGTCTCAATARTATCGTTTTAATCCAAGAACAAGCCGCGTTGARGATGGATATCCTAGGAGTATCTATGACTACTGGACCGGTGCACCAAGAGACATCGAGGCAGCTATCCCATGGTACAACGGTGACGTTTATTTRTTTAAGGACGCGCAGTATTGGCTATTTGTTCACGACGACAACAAAGTMGGGGTGRTGAAAGGGTATCCCAAATCAATACACGATTGGTGGAATGGAACTATTCAGCTTTCTGGTTACAGTGTCATCCGGTAAGATGTACAGGGTCACCCATAGGACAAATAGTCCATAATACGTTTCGAGATCTTATTTGTGCAGCTTCAACCTCGAAATCATGTTATATAATCTTTTATTCGGCAGAGAAATAAACAATTTATATTTATGCTATTGAAGCTAAGCTTGCACAAAAGAGAATTCGAAACTGAAAAAAGTTTATACCTTTCTCAACAGATACTTCGATGGCTACACATACTTCATCCGAGGCAAGGAGTATTGGCGCTACAATGATAATCTATACCATACAGACTTCCAATATCCAAAATTACTCGCGCAGTCATGGATAGGCCTACCACAAGGCTTTAAGACAGGTTTCACATGGAAGGACGAGCTGTACGTCTTTAAAGACAAACATTATTGTAGATATAATACATCCGGCACGGCTGATGTTGGGAACCCTGTGCGAATTGACGAATATTGGAAGGGAATTCCTGATGACATAGACGCTGTATTCAGGTATGGGAAAATTATCGAAACCAAAGAAAACAAACAAACAAACAAAAAGGGGAAAAAATAAACGAGATAGAGAAAAAGACGCACTACGCGCTACGCATAGTGAAATGTTTTCTCAATTTCATACCTAAAGTAATTGAACATTCCATATGTAACATTTCTCTAGATACGTAAATGGTCTGACGTACTTCTTCAAGGGCACGCGATACTACAGGTTTAACGACACCACGTCGCAAGTGGATCCTGGGTACCCAAGATTCATTGCAAGCTTTTGGAGGGGCGTTCCAAGCCACATCGACTCAGTGTTCGTATGGAGCAATGGTCACACCTATTTCTTTAAAGGAAACCTGTATTACCGGTTTAACTGTACTACAAGTCAGGTCGATCCTGGATATCCTAAGTCAGTGTTTCATTGGCGGGGAGTTTTCTATCAGCTCTGAATTCTCTCCGCTTTTTTACTGAGCTTTGCATTTGTGTCCATTTAGACTAAAACCGTCCAGAAATGCTTGTCTCGGTAAAAATCTGATAGCAAATTAAACGTTAGTAACTTGTCTTATAGTTTGTCTGCTTTTTCATTGCCGAACCACTGCGATTTTCAAGATTATGCAAACTTTTCAGTAAAAGTTAAACGATAAATGAGGTTTTCTCTTCCAATCAATACGTCTTTGTGGCAGTAGTTCTTGTAAGAAGATAGCGTACAGCGCGGTGCGTTCATTGGAGGTAAAACACGTGCATACTCGTGGACTGAGAAAAACTCTAGCTACTCGAATGTCATATTGAAAACGGCAGTAGCTATACAAGCATTACAAACTGATTTTATTACTCAAACAACTTACAGTACATCTAGAGTAGTGAGTCTACTAACAGCAATATAAATAAGAGGATAGAATGATTGATGGTATACTTAATCACAGTGTTGTCCTAAAACGCTCTCTAAGTAAAATACAGATTCTCATACGAACGTTTCGTCTCTATCGTGAAAACTGGCCCTATTTTTTAGGAGTGAGTGTCTCACTCTGAAACAAAATATGGGCATCTCTCACGCTTTTACACCTGTTGTTGCATGTATTCTACTCATTGCTGCATCTTTCTGGTTATTCCAAAAAGGTGCATACTTACAGTACATAATACAAGTTCTCCTTTGTTCGCTGTCCATTGTATTCCCACATCGAAGTGAGATATACTATTAATACGTAAACGATTGTTAACTGGAGAGGACTTCTGTTTTCGATTGCTTTAAGAKGTTCTAMAACTTTGAAACAAATCTWTTC